CCAAACTTCTAATATTGCAATGAAGTGCAGTGAATGTTTTGTAATTTGATGAGCATTCATTGATATCATTATCACTGTGGAAATCATGAGGGCTATAGTATCTGAAGTTTGTATCAAATGGCAAATTTATATCAATATCTAAGTCTGCTAGAGAAGAAAAATCTGCATTTTCAGAAGTAATGGAGAGGGTTGGTAGATTATCCACTAAATCTAATAGTTCTCCAGTTCTTTCAGACAAAACTGGGCAATTAGGACAGTTCGTTAAGGTAGTAGAATTAGTTTATATCAAATATAATTACTGAGATGAAACTACTTATCTTATTAATAGTCCTTTGAGTACTTCTGTATTTTTGATGTGGATAATTCTACTATCTGTATCTTTTCGCAGATATATTTTGCCGTTTGATGTCCAGAGGAACTTGAACTTGAGATTTTTCTTCGTTTTCAATGCTTCTTTGAATAGCACCTTATTGGCTTCTTCGTTGACATAAATCGTATTTGTTGCACTATAACCAAGGTCCTCAGTGCTGTAACCTTTCAGGTCTTTCCTTGATGCGTAGAATTCTTCCTTTTTATCTCTTTTCACGAATTTCACGATTATTGAGGGATTTGCTCTAGATCCCTTGTATTTATTACTAACTGGCAACCGGTGGCTGACTGAAATGTCATCTTCTTCTACTGAGACTCCAATGAGTTCACCAACTTTTACCACAATGTCATTAGTAACCTCGTCTTCTGTCTGAGGAATACCATGTAATTCTAAGCAATCTCTTCTGCCATATTGCTCGAGATCGTTGAGCTTGTCACTTAAGTTTGCTAGCTTTTGTTCGATCTGATGGATTGTCGATTTCAGGATTTTGCTTTCGTTGATTGTTTCATTTAATGTTGACTCATTATTCTTCATTGAAATTGCGGCACTTTCATATTTGCTATTTGCAAATTTTGCAAATCGATCTACGTCGTCAACTTTCTGTTTGAGTTCATCTATTTGTTTTACCAGAGGATCAAGTTTTTCTTTCAAAATTTCTTCTATTTGCTGACGAATTTCACAAGACATGATGACGATAAGAAATAAATATAGGAATATACGTTCATAAAGGAAGTTTGTCGTAGTTAAGTAGTAAATTAAAGTCAAATTTACATCCAAACTTCGAGAGCGCGGGAAAGCACCTCCATCTTGTTCCGCGACCGCTGACCGCTGACCGCTATCAATGATCATGATCCGCTTATATGATCATTCTTATCGTATATACCTGTTTCTCTCACTGTTTTAGTGCTTACATCGCTGATAAGTTTAAATGCATAAATATCTAGCATACGTCAATATCATAAACTTATTGTTATTTGTATTGCTGTTCAGTTGCGTTTTCTTAGTAAAGTTCTTTCAACATTTTCTGTTTTGTGTATTTGTATCCTTTGATATTTAACATAAGTCACTTCAGTTTAGAATTTTTAAAAATTTAAGTGACATTGCTTAAACTTGTCATATTTATTTCAAAACTGTTATAGATTCAACGTTTACATTGCCCATCGGTGGGAACTAATAGTTGTTCTGACTTTTATCTCATAAAACAAATGGGAAACTTGCTTGAAACAAAACTAACATCTACCTATATAACCAAGCATTTGAACTCAATGCTGTTTCATATTTTAATATTATCCAGATATGTGAATCTGACCGACGCAAAATCGAATTAAACTTTATTCACATCATACCGATTTTCTATTACAGCGAACTTAGTGGGAAAAGTTAATTACACATAYAACTTTCATAATCATCACTTCTTTTCTAATTTTCATCGATTATGGACCTCTTTCAAAGTCTACATCTTACAATAACTCACAAATTTCTCGCTCGCTGTTTAGTTTGATTTTTCTTATCAAACAGACTCTTTCCGTTAGTTGTATTGATTGCTAAAAAGGAGACGTTTTTATAGTTTTTCTTGTTTTTGTTAATATTCTAAAAAACAATATCAGATCAGATTTTTGTCTCTATATCCTTTTATTACCATTGTTTGCCTTATCACATTGTCAAACTAATATGGGGATCCACCTGGCTATGCCTCGACCAATATATATCTCTCTAAATCTTTCTTTATGTATAATCAGGGCAATACTATTATAAATATCGTTTTATTTACTTTCTTTCCCTGGTCATATCTAATATGTAAAACCTCTGATTTTTAAGGGGTACTTGAATGAAAACGCCCCGTTTTTTTAAAGCCCGAATACTTTCAAATATTTGAAGATAATATGATTCAATTACTATTATAAAAGCCAGATTAACATAAATATTTGCTTCGGAACCACTTGAAGTTGAGAAACTTTGGTTTAAAGGCTAAAAGAACAATAGGGTTGAGTAAATGACTTCATTTACTCTCAACTTCGATGCTGATTCTGAAGAAAAATGTGTCTTGGCTACTGTTGAGGACATATGAATATGTCTAACCAACTTCCAAGTCGTTTCCAAAATCAGGGTGTTTTCATCTAAGTGCCCCTTTAAACAATCCGTTTCTAAATTAGCAGTAGACACATGCGGTTTACGACCGCCTATTTTTTCTGCTTGCATGTTTTTGGTCGCCATGTTTTTTGTGACGTAACATCACATACAAATCTGCTTTGGGGGGACCCCTAATGTTTTGGCCCTTTTTTCATGAAAATCGCAGCCAAATGAYGTGAATTTCAAGAATCGCAGTAAAATCGCCGGGTGTTCACACGCGCGATTTGGCGTCGCCGTCAAAATCGCCGAAAAAATCGCACCTCAAATCGCTGCACAAATCGCCCGTGTTAACGTGCCTTTAGTCGAAAAGCGTTGAGCCCCCTACGAGGGCGGATTGATCCTGGTTATTTAATCGGAAAGGCACAACTGAAGTTCCCTACCTTCCTCCGGTGTTCTTCATCATAGTGCAGTGCCATAATTCTCGCATTCATATAAGTTCAATGAGTTAAAGTTTATTCACATACATAAATAGAGATTACTTCATAGAAAGTGCGACGCACGGGATTATAACGGAGCACCATACTTAAGAAAAAAAGGTAAACCATCGAGTTGATTTTTCATGGCTTGGCTGACGTCACTTCCGTACGTCCGTGTACACAACACAGGGATCCCGCTTGATGTCAAGGCAAAACTCACAAATGCGGCTCTCAAATGCACAGAAAAAAATCGCTTTAGGACAAGTTATAGACCAAAAAAAATTAAAAAAACTTTCAAAGATGGATCAAGAAGTGTTCTTCAAGAATTCAGGTGTGTGTTTTTTTTAGCAAACAATCTTATATTATTATTTTTTTGACAAGCATTTTTCTTGAGGAATCGACAAATCAAAGACTCTCTCAAAACTTTTTATATTTCTATAGATAAGCTTAATTTATTTCAATGCTGGAGGAAAAATAACACGGAGAGCATATTACGACAACAAATATTCGTCCTTTATTTAGCTTTTTTTAACAATTCGGTTGTTTTTAACCAACTATCGTATGTTTTTCGTTTAAGAAAAATGCAGCTTTGTTCGCCTCCTGTCGCGGGGTCCCATCGGCAAAAAAAAGAAGACTTTCATTCAATAATTTTATATTCTTCTACAGATAACTTATTTAATTATTGAATGAAATATAAATTTACACCAAATATTTAACTGTTTATTAAGATGTTCGAGCAAGTATGATTATAAAAATTAGCTTAAATTTGTGATGTTCAGAGATGTTATTTTATAGACCTAGACTTTCACTTTTAAAAAAGCTAAAAAATATTCAAAAACATTTACAAACGCCAATTTACTGACAAAAAATTCATCATTTTGTATTTTGCATTGCCTTTTGCATTATTTTTTATTTTGTCTCAGTTGTTCTTGTCAAGTTTAACTGAATGTAAACTTCGTCTCGTTCTGTAAAAGACGTAATTAGGTAAGCTTATTTTTTAACCAGTTTTCAAGTCTGTTTTTTGTTTTTGATGTGCCCTAAATCTCCGGATTTTCGATTTCAGTGAAAGACATCCGAGGTAAATTTCACTAAACTTAACATTTTATTGGATTATCTGTAGTTATCTTTCGTTTTTTTTAAGTAAAAGAGATTCAAAGCCTAAAACTGTCGGCCTTGGAAAACTTTGTCGAAGAATCTTCCAAGAACAAAACTAGCTACTGGGGGTGGTGGTGAGTTGTGTACCTAAGTGGGATAGTATACTCGCGCAAAACTCGCGCACAGAAAACAATGTAGTGCATTTCGATTCGATTTCACTGCATGGGTTTAATTATGGGAGAAATTATCTTCATCTCGAATAAAAAAAAATTGAAGACTTTTTCCCCGATCTTATTTTTACCTTTCAGTTTCATTCAAAATTTTTTTCCCTGTGACTTCCGTATCGGGAGCTCCGCTTATGTATTATTCACGAGTTGTTTGTGTAAAGCACAAACGAGCGAGGTACGAGCGAGTGAGTGTTTTACACAAACAGCGAGTGAATATAATCCTGTACAAAGCACTTTCTATGGTGTTAACTGTTTATTATATTCATAACGAGAAATTTTTGGCTTAAACATGATTTTATTTTTCTCGAATCCAAACTTGTGTTGAAAGCGTGCGTGGATGTAAGCTTGTGAACTCCAAAAAAAACACCGACAAATCTTATGCAAACAAAACACCATAATCTTTTTTAATATACTAAAAGACTTAGTAAGACAGAACGAAACTAGACCTTTGAAGGTAAAGACTACCGTAATACAAGGGCGAATCCAGGGGGAGGGTCGGAGGGGTCGCGACCCCCCTGTCATTCCTGAGGTCAAATGGGCTTCCTGTGGTAAAAATGCGACTGGGATTCCTTTGCCCACAAAAAYTTACCCCTGAGACTTAATTTACCCCCCTTCAAAAAACCCTGGATCCGCCCTTGGTAATATAAAGTGTTTGAATCATATCARAAAAGAAAAGAAAAAACATCAAGTCTACAACTTTTGAAAGCTGAAGTCAAACTGTTGAATCCTCGGGAAGAAAATTGCAAGAAAAGAAAATACCTTCTGCTTTTTCGTTTCTTCGCCAGTCTATCTCCAGGTTTTCTAAAACCATAGAATTAATGCATCAAGACACATTTTTAGATAAAGTCTTCAAGGACRGCACAGTTTTTAGCTCCTTGAAACCTCCATCTTTCGGCGAGAAATAGAAACCACTAGCTCGTTCGTTTTGATATTTAGACGTCTTTCTCTGATTTTTCTGGCTTCAAATACCCTTACAGAAAAGGCTATCTTCTTCGTTTACTAAAAGGTTTTTACTGTTGTTTTTCCTCGACAAATTCGCAAAAACTGGACAGAAAACAGCCCTTCAACTTTCAAAAACAACAGCGTTTTCCTCTGACCAGGAAGCCATTAAAGTGTCATTTCTCGTTCTTTGATTGACTGAGGAATTTATCGACGATTCTGATTATATTTTTCACATGTGAAAAATGCTATACGCGACGCTTGTTGGACGTATTACTGTTTTTCACACGAAAATATAGATTTATATTMATAGGCTTTACGCTATGGAATACTCGTTATATATATAATAATACAATATTACAATAGTCTAGATCGTTCCATTATATTTCACTTGTATGCAAGAAATCAAATCTTTTTTTTTTTTTTTACTATAGTCCTTTAGCAACCCGTTTGTTTGGTGCAGACCCCCCAAGAACTAGAGGTGGTCGCCGTTACAAACCAAGTAATCAAGACACCAACTCATTACCGAAGGATACAGTAAYCTTGCTGCCTGGAGTAGATGTGCGTGTTAACTATTCCTCAAACTTTGAAAGTGAATCAGGAATTGCTTCAACTCTTACTTCAGATAGTTCAGGATTATCTGCAAGTTTTTCCCTGCACCAACCACGTGATCAACTCTTCACGTCACCACCAGAGGTGCAGGCTCAGGGATCGACTTTAAGCCGTAAAGTCTCCAAGAAAGCAGGAGTCTACATATCTGTGTTATTTCAATCTCTTCCACAAGAAATGGTCTTGAAGCCGTCTTTAATTGATTTCTTAGAACAAGCCCTAGAGCCGATTATTATCCCGTTCGGGGATGAAGGTATTGATGGGGTTGGGTCTGTTTCAGACAATAGCAGTGATCCTGAATTTGAAACAGGCGACTCAATTGTGTCATCATCAATGTCGGAGGTGTCTTCATTTCCTGTCGACGTCGTGGTGGTTTTCAGAGTACAGCCATCAGATATTCGTCTGAGTTGTCAGCCAGTCTCAAAAGTAGAGTGCATGCTACGATTACCTGCACTGGATGTTGTGTTTTCATCCAAGTCTAGTCCTACCAAATCCACTGTCCTGGCCACTCCTCAACAGACGCTGTTTGGAGAACAACGTAAACAAGAGGCGAGAGAGACTCAGGCATTCGATAGCGGTGGAGTCAGTTTTACTTTCTGTCTATCCAGTTTCTCTTTCTGTATATTCCATCCATACGGAAAAGAGCACACTGCCGTAGGTAGAACTACCAGTGCACCTATGGAAGGTGAAGCCGACGTAAGTGAAGAAAATCGACCACGCTTCCGTTTTACCCCACCCCAGCCGATCTCAGGGAAAAAAGACTCGTTGAGTCTGGATGTAGAGTTTGTAAAATTTCATCTTTCAAGACGGCGTGTTGGAAGTTCTTACGTGAACGACAGCAGAGATGGATCGAACTCTTCAAGTAGTTCATCTACAGTCGTCAAAGTATCTGGTAATAGTTGTTGTTATATATTAATTAAAAGCATTCATGATATTGTGGTAATGTTGTCAGCCAATCAAAAGTGAGAGAAGTAAATCGTAAAATAGTTTTGCCTTTCCACCCAAGCAGTACGTGTGAGCTTTCAAATCTTTCGTTTTAAGGTTAATTGATTTTAATACTGGTAACGCAAGAGGAGTTGGGGCGGTCGGGCCTGTGGGCTGCGATGTAGTTTAGTTTCAGTAGAAACGACAAACCAAATTGCTAACACCTGTTGCTCTCTACGTAAAAGTACCAAGGCCAAATTTGATTAAAGTGGGTAAATGATTTTGACAGGTGTCTGCGATATTGGATCAGCGGCTTTCACGTATGACATGCGCCGACTGAACGAGATCTTGGACTTTCCAAAGGCTTGGTATAAAAGAAAACTTGTCAGTAGGCTGTTCTTAGGCAAGGAAGGCTCTTATGCTGCCAAATCTGTTAATGTAGCTACAGACGTGCCTTATCAACCATCACAGTCAGTCATCATGGATGATATGGGACACAAGAGAAGGTATGGTTCTTGTTTCACTTGATCACATGCTTTTAATTCGACCCCGTTGAGCTGTGACACAGCTGTACTTGTGTTGTTGATTAGTGATAACAAGTTTTTTTGTTTTTTATTCGTTTTGCTTTTGATTGTTATATTTTACCAGAAGTTCATAGTTATGAACTTCTGATTTTACTATCATATCAAATATATTGCCACATGTCGTGTCTCAGTTTCCTAATCATTCAGCCCAGGTGAACTCTTTAAAGGCTCCGTTGCCTTTGGTATGTAACACTAAAAAATCGGCAAATGTACCTAAAGTACTTCATCAGAGCTCACCTGTCAGGTCCAGTCCGGTCCAGTCCGGTCCTTTCCGGTCCGGCTTGTTCCTTACCAGATTTGCTGATAATACCTTTTATTTACAGATCTTCACCTAGCGTGACGGAAAACCAGAGACCAAGACCTTCCCAAGGACGGCCGCTGTTTTCGCGTTCTTTGTCTGAGGATGAAAAACGACTTCCAAGTACCCTCACTCCGCTCAGAATACCAAACAAACAAAAATCAGGTACGATCACCCAAATCCGCATAAACGACAAGGCAAGTTGTACAGTACTGTTGTGTGTTAAGAAGCACACGGAGTATAGATATAATAACCTGATCAATTATAGTTTCTTGACCATACAGTCCATACATATGTTTTAACTCTCCTGTGGTAATGTCTGAAAATCCTAATGTTTTATCTTCTTTTTGCATGCCTCAGCAGTTACGAAAAAAGGTGCTTCTCCACCGTCTGGAATATTTGGTTTTTTTCCAACTTCGCCTACTCTGTTCCGCTCAATGACCATGACAGGAAATAAATATGGCCTGCTGTCTTCAAATTCTGCTGCTCCATCACCTGCAAACCGAAAACATGCATTTACTGGTACGTAAGCCCTATTGTGTGGTGATTGGACACTTCTGAGCCCCTCACCTTTCATGGAGGCCTGTTGCGTTCGGCGCGCGGTTTTGCCGAAGTTAGGTTATTTTGGTTTATACGATTTATATTAGAAATTCTGCTATAGAGCAAGCTTTTTCCTTTAAGCTCATTAATAAAATCAAAATCAAAAAAATCAGTTTTATATTTTGATTCCATTTTCATATTCTGGATTACAAGTTGAAGCCACGCCTTCTTACTAATACTGAGGTAGTCTTTCCATATATGGGGATCACGTGTCTTATTAATAATGGCCTATTGCAATTTTCCAGCCTAGTCGAGAAAATCAAACACAAAAAACACAAAATATCTGACCAAAGCTAAGATATATGTTACATCCAATACTTGATAATATTTTACAGAGCAAAAGAGCCGCAAAAAGGAAGAACAATCGCCATTACTTGTTGCTGAGCAGAGTTCTTCGGATACAGATGTTGATGGACCATTAAGCAAGTCATCCTCTTCAAGCTCTGGATCCAAGTCAAAGTGGGAGACAGTTATTGTAGTAGCGTTGAACTTGTCACGGCTAGATGTTAACACTAATATGGGAAGTGTCATGGGACAAACCATGTAAGTATATTGACTTCACCATGTTGGCCCTTCCAAAGTATAGCGTTGGCAAGTATTACGAATGAAAAAAAGGACAAYATATCTAAGTGTCTGACACGAATTTTGGCCCTACGTTCATACTTTGWTACTTTTTTACCCTTGCAAACGCTAGGATCGGTTGTGAACAACAATGMGCGACAATTTTTTTTCTCCAGGTCCTCCTATTAAATGCTGCAATTTTATCCAGTCTAGGAATTTGGGTCAATAAAATAAATGTATAAAAACTAAACCAAATGCAGCAATTGTTTGAAGGCAATAGAGTTTAACTGATATATGCTAGGCAGTTTGTCAGGTAGGATATGACCTCTTAATTATGCTTCCATGCAAATAGTTTGAATACTCTTTATTTCTAATGAGAAAATTGAAGAATATTTCGTTGGCCAGAGTTTTGGTTCGTTTTTTGTTTCCTTATATTCTACTAGTTTTACAATAAARTTCAGAACATGCATTGAGGCAGTGAGATACAGCAGTTAGTTTATGTTATCATTGAATAGTATGGAAGACTGATTGGATCTTGGTCAAACAGCTAAACATGCCATCTTTCTCAAGATTATAATCCTTTCTGGTTCAATTGAACTTGCAAGTCAATTCTTTAAACTCGGTGAACTCCCCGACAACCACCTTGGTTATGTCTAAATCATCAAGGTTCTGGTTTATTTTTATCTGTGTTGATGGAAGTGTACGCTCACCACAATGATTGTCGCAGTCCATATCGTAGTGCACTGCCAAGAACAAAGATATTATGATGACGTAGAGAACTATCAAAAGTTTTGTAATCTTAATTTGCATGACTAAACCAGAAATCTCTTCACTGCATTGGGAGAATACCATTACACAGAGAGCAAGACTGAGAAAGGACAAGCAGCAGACTAGAGCAGTAGTTTGCCATGATATGCCTTGATGTTTAAAGGCCACAAGTAATGTTATATGGATTGACAAAAATATAAGGACACTGAGTTTGAGTTTAAGAAGACTTTGAAATGTCTTGTTTTTACACTGCCTATACATGCACCACTTTAGAAACAAGAACCCTAAGAGAGCTAAAGAGCCAGCTTTGATATATGAAGCCATTAAGATGTATTGGATTCCATCAGGTCTGGCTTGAATAGCGGCAGAATACCATTTAACTGCTGTAATGACATCAACGATGAAAAATAACACCCTCACGCAGTTATAGCCCCAGGTTGTTCTGTCTATAGCGTGTTGAAGTACTTCCCAGAAAACAAAAAGAAGGAAGAAAGTGAGGGAAAATATGCAGACAGCCAAAACTAATCCAAGGTAGTAGACTAGTATGACCTCTGGTTTGGTCGAGGTACTAGTAGTCCAAATTTGACGACCAAACTCTATGATAATGCAGATGAGAAATATCAGGCCAACAGTGAAGAAAGTAATAAAGGACTTGTGTGTGTAGTTACTCAAAGCTTCCACTATAAATGTATTCAACTTGGCTGTGATGAGGGTTGCTTGAAGGCTTGAAGGAATCTGTAGGGAAAATATGATTATAGTTATTAGAAAATAGTTATTGTGGCAATGACACAATAGGCGATATTAACTAGTTTAGTGACGAACATTTTCACTTTACTAAGCTCGCCTTGTTTGAAACAGTAAAGTTCGTCTCAGGCTGTTTGAGAGATGTTTGTTCTACATTAGTAATCAGAATTCAAACAAAGGGTTTATCCTTTTATTGCAATCTTTGCTATCTTTTAGTTCATAGACAATTCTGTTTGATAGCGGTTTCACAGCGTATTAAAGAGAGAATCGGATCAATTTCCTCATTGTTGATGCAGATTTGGTCTCGAATCCATAGATAAATACATTACCTTATTGCTATGTTCTTGCTCTTTGCTTTCTGTACATTCGTTCTTCAGTGATTCAGAAAGAAAAGTCCTTTCCTTCATGATTAGGCGACCAAAAAGCACTGTTACTGAACGTACTTACTTACTTGCGTGCTATTACTTGTCTGGATTTGTAATCGGGTATGCTATAGATCGATTTCACTGACGTTAATTTTCTAACCTTTGTCAGTATTGAAGATGATTGAGTAAAAGGTCTTGCACCCGAAAGATAAGTCAAAATAAATGTATCTCAACCACATTTTGAGGTATAAGAAGTTTTCGATMCCGAGAGATCAAATGGGCTCATCATTTAGGTGTGAAATAAGGTATTACTTATTCTTTATAGAAGTGTCCCGAATTTCATCCTGTATCTTTTTATCTCTGCCATTTCTTGATAAAAAGCCTTTCAAATGTTTCTTTTGGTTTATCCGAGGGACATGGAATAGTACTGGTCACATGACACTTTTCCTTTAGCTCACAGTAAGTGTTCCTGATATTATGACACTTCAAAAAGGCGCTGTTGTCACATTCAACGTACTGGACCAGACCTCCAGACCGAGACAAACTAACAAGCAAGTCAGGAAGCGAGTTAGGAAGCGAGTTAGGAAGCGAGTTAGGAAGCGAGTTAGGAATCGAGTCAGGAAATCATACATTCTAGCCAAGATTGTCTTAAGGTGACTAGCTACTTTATCAAGAAATCATTACAAAATGTTCTTAGAAAGATATTTTATAGAGAATTTAACGCTGATTGGATGTCCTGAGCTTGTTTTCGAGATAATGAATTTTGAATACGGCTATCTTGACAGGTTTTGGAAAGAAAATTGCTGGCGGAAATCAAGCTTTTCACAAAACAATTCATAACTCACAAATTAAAAACTCAGAACATCTACTTTAAACACTATTTTCTAAGACCTAACTAAAAATATTTGAAAGTTTTAAAATACCTCTACATAAGACATCAGCCCCTTTGCTTGGCGCCAGGAGACGGAATGTAATAAGTTTGGCATACATACTTCTACTAGGTTCAAGGAAAACAGCGTTCGAACGAAAAGGCAAGCACAATGGACGCGGCAAAAGTTCGACGTCTGAACTGGGCCTTAGATGCATGATGACCCAATACAATTTGAAAAACATAAAAACAYCTTGCAATTAGTAGGCACCGACATCGTGTTGAGCAGCAGACAGATCCGTTGTTGAGCCAGCAAACATTTTTGTCAGCGAACGAGTAACAGTCAACACGACTCTTATATCTTTCGTTGCGTAACACCCATAATATTAATAATTACCGGCTGATGCAGACGTTTTACTTGCGATTTCTTTTTTTGGCATTAATATATATATTTAAAACACTCATGAATAATTCATAAGCTTATGGTCCAATTGGAGCCACCATACACGTCACGTGCATGAACCTTTATACCCGATAAAGTCCTCTTCATTAGTATTCAAGTGATTTTATATAAAGACACATGTGTCTTTATATAAAGACCACTCGAATACTATGAGGGTGACTTCATCAGGGATGAAGTATGCATCCAAGTTTAGATGAAGACATAGAGCTTCATCAAGGTCATAGTTAACCCTAATGATCTTTGACTAACGTGCCTGTCTTTGCCTTGGCACGCAATACCCAACGTGTGGGAGCTTCTATTGAATCTAGTTGCGCATGCCCGTGACGTCAAATCTCTATCGAAGTATAAAAATCCATGTTCGTGACGTGTATGGTGACTCCAGTTGAACCAAAATCTTATAAATTGTTCATGAGTGTTTTAAGCAGTTCAAAAAACTCGTAGACCGTGTTTTATCAGGTATAAAAGCACTCGGCTACGCCTCGTGCTCTTATACCTGATAAAACACTCCTACTCGTTTTTTAAACACTACATATTACTCGCTTCCTAACTCGCTTCCTAACTCGCTTCCCAACTGGAAAGATAGGCATCCTCCTCCAGACCTATCAATCCACGTAACTATGTCATTTTGAGCTCTGACTGTAGTTGTGAACTGTTGTACGTCTTCRAGGGTGTAACCAAACTTCACATGATTGTAGATCTCTCCTGGGCTTGAGATTGCAATTGCTTGAACTTTGTTTCTACTACCGATAATCTTGGCCAATCGAGCAATCGTCTTTTAACTCATGCACATGTCGCTTTTACAGAGAGTGGAAAACAGGAGAGCTCGAAGAAACACCCTCAGGGACAGAATACTGAACAAATCAGAGAAACTCATTCCCATTCCCATGTGGCGTCCACAGCAATCCAACCAGCGCCACAGCTTTTTAATGTACGCCATCCTCCCGGTCTGCCATCCTTGAAAAACGCGTGGAGGAAAGAGGGAGGAAAGACTAACAGAATACGCTAAAACATTTTGTACCATTGCTTTTTTTCTGATTATTTTTTACTTATCAATTTGCTTAGTAAATTTGATACTTTNCTTTTCCTTTAGCTCACAGTAAGTGTTCCTGATATTATGACACTTCAAAAAGGCGCTGTTGTCACATTCAACGTACTGGACCAGACCTCCAGACCGAGACAAACTAACAAGCAAGTCAGGAAGCGAGTTAGGAAGCGAGTTAGGAAGCGAGTTAGGAAGCGAGTTAGGAATCGAGTCAGGAAATCATACATTCTAGCCAAGATTGTCTTAAGGTGACTAGCTACTTTATCAAGAAATCATTACAAAATGTTCTTAGAAAGATATTTTATAGAGAATTTAACGCTGATTGGATGTCCTGAGCTTGTTTTCGAGATAATGAATTTTGAATACGGCTATCTTGACAGGTTTTGGAAAGAAAATTGCTGGCGGAAATCAAGCTTTTCACAAAACAATTCATAACTCACAAATTAAAAACTCAGAACATCTACTTTAAACACTATTTTCTAAGACCTAACTAAAAATATTTGAAAGTTTTAAAATACCTCTACATAAGACATCAGCCCCTTTGCTTGGCGCCAGGAGACGGAATGTAATAAGTTTGGCATACATACTTCTACTAGGTTCAAGGAAAACAGCGTTCGAACGAAAAGGCAAGCACAATGGACGCGGCAAAAGTTCGACGTCTGAACTGGGCCTTAGATGCATGATGACCCAATACAATTTGAAAAACATAAAAACAYCTTGCAATTAGTAGGCACCGACATCGTGTTGAGCAGCAGACAGATCCGTTGTTGAGCCAGCAAACATTTTTGTCAGCGAACGAGTAACAGTCAACACGACTCTTATATCTTTCGTTGCGTAACACCCATAATATTAATAATTACCGGCTGATGCAGACGTTTTACTTGCGATTTCTTTTTTTGGCATTAATATATATATTTAAAACACTCATGAATAATTCATAAGCTTATGGTCCAATTGGAGCCACCATACACGTCACGTGCATGAACCTTTATACCCGATAAAGTCCTCTTCATTAGTATTCAAGTGATTTTATATAAAGACACATGCGTCTTTATATAAAGAAACATGTGATCTTTATATAAAGACCACTCGAATACTATGATGACTTCATCAGGGATGAAGTATGCATCCAAGTTTAGATGAAGACATAGAGCTTCATCAAGGTCATAGTCAACCCTAATGATCTTTGACTAACGTGCCTGTCTTTGCCTTGGCACGCAATACCCAACGTGTGGGAGCTTCTATTGAATCTAGTTGCGCATGCCCGTGACGTCAAATCTCTATCGAAGTATAAAAATCCATGTTCGTGACGTGTATGGTGACTCCAGTTGAACCAAAATCTTATAAATTGTTCATGAGTGTTTTAAGCAGTTCAAAAAACTCGTAGACCGTGTTTTATCAGGTATAAAAGCACTCGGCTACGCCTCGTGCTCTTATACCTGATAAAACACTCCTACTCGTTTTTTAAACACTACATATTACTCGCTTCCTAACTCGCTTCCTAACTCGCTTCCCAACTGGAAAGATAGGCATCCTCCTCCAGACCTATCAATCCACGTAACTATGTCATTTTGAGCTCTGACTGTAGTTGTGAACTGTTGTACGTCTTCRAGGGTGTAACCAAACTTCACATGATTGTAGATCTCTCCTGGGCTTGAGATTGCAATTGCTTGAACTTTGTTTCTACTACCGATAATCTTGGCCAATCGAGCAATCGTCTTTTAACTCATGCACATGTCGCTTTTACAGAGAGTGGAAAACAGGAGAGCTCGAAGAAACACCCTCAGGGACAGAATACTGAACAAATCAGAGAAACTCATTCCCATTCCCATGTGGCGTCCACAGCAATCCAACCAGCGCCACAGCTTTTTAATGTACGCCATCCTCCCGGTCTGCCATCCTTGAAAAACGCGTGGAGGAAAGAGGGAGGAAAGACTAACAGAATACGCTAAAACATTTTGTACCATTGCTTTTTTTCTGATTATTTTTTACTTATCAATTTGCTTAGTAAATTTGATACTTTYGCGTGAGGTATTCATGAAATTCAAGATGCTTTACGGTTTACACACGTTGGATAMGTGTATGTGACATAATGTCATATAAACGTTTCCAACTTATCAATTTGCTTAGTAAATTTGATACTTTCGCGTGAGGTATTCATGAAATTCAAGATGCTTTAAGGTTTACACACGTTGGATACGTGTATGTGACATAACGTCATATAAACGTTTCCAACGCGTGAAAGTATCTTCAACATATCGACTTATTTATCTCACCGATTGGTTATTGGATACGTTTCTAGGTGCAGTACTAGTGACCTACGAGCTCAARGCCATCTAACACTCACCAGCACTGGTAGGAGACACTTTAAAGCCAAACTAAAAGTCAGGCAAGCCGTTTGCGAGTCACGAAGTGGTATAGTTGGTGGCCATATTGAAATCAACGAGGTCATATCAAAAGGTGCAATAACGAATATCATTCTTTGTTATCATATACAGCTATTTCAAAAAAGGTTTGTGAAGGTTTTGTTGCATGCTGCATAGCAAGTCCGAAATGCATAATGGACGATGTGAATTCAATCAGCGAAAGGTCACAACAATATGTAATTTTCACAAACGTCTGCACATTTCTGCAGCATATTTTCTCTTGGCTGACATTATTTACAATGAGAATATAGAATATTACAATCTTGGTTAACAGCATGCAACAAAACTTTCCTCAGCCATTTTTGATAGCTCTACACGTCTGTGATGTTACAAGGATACCTGTAAACAAAGGAATGATATTCAAGGAAATGAGATGTGGTCTAAAATGGGGGAACAATATGCACAATGAGAATGTCTATTCAAAATCTATAGTCAGTTCTTTCTATAGTTTAAATCATTCAGTTGTGTCAGGATAATTTAAAGTCAAGTTTGTTCTAAATATTACTTCCACCATTAATTTATCTGATCAGCTTTTTGACCGTTTGATATTTATTTTACTAAATCATAGAAGAGTGGACATGATATTATTTTTTTATTTCAGCAAATGTTACAGAGGAGCGCGGCTGCAAACCACAACATTTGATGAATTTTAAAGTTGGTCATTCTGAAGCCCGAATAGACTACATGGGGACCTGTATTCTGATGGGTAATGTTTCGGCACTGAAGGCTGATTTGTGCGATGAATGGATCTTACAAGATGTTCACAGTGCCTCGACAGGTAGGTGGTCATTATGTGCGGTAACAGGAGTTGAATACACTGAACATGCTAAAGCAACTCCGAGTCAAGATTTTTTTTAAAAACTATTTCTCATAAAATATTCCTTATTTGAATCCAATCCTTTGTCTTCGCAAAGATCTTCACTTACGCAAAAAGAATGGCAAATATCGATCAAAGAATCCTATTTCTTATAGTGTATATGTTTTCTGGTGTCAGTTGTGAAGTAGTGTCTATAGACTTTATATGTCTATTAAACCAGGTATTGCCATCAGGTTAGTCACTCACTTTTGGAGGAATTTTTTWAAATGCGTTTCAGTGCATACAATTATAATTTTGCCGTCATATTTCTTTTCTTATCGTTTAGATACCTTGTTAGCAAGCGACAAAGAAACTCCCATTACTTCTAAAATCTATGTCCGGGCTGACATGTCTTGGACAGACTTCAAATTAATGATTTCGCGTTCAACAACTCCTGACTTTATCAAGATGATAGCAAAGATCCAGGAATTCTTTACACAGCAGCACAGAAACAGTATCCGTGCTCTTTCGACTCTTCGCAACCCAACACCACTTGCCACAGGAACAATACTCTCCAACCTAGCAATGCATCAGCTGTCCGTTCCTCAAAACAAAGAAAAGGACACAGAATGCGACGGTTAGTGGTTTTACTTCTCGTACATTGCCGTTTTATAATAGTTAACATCAAACTAGATACATATCATAGATGGCATACTTCACTGAGTGGGTGGGCTTGCGCTGCTACGGCGCTGTGACAATTTATTTGTACTTCAAAGTTACTATGATATAATTAAATAAATTATGACAGATTTAAAAGTACAGACCATCTGTAAATAACATAAAAACACTCATTAATAATTCATAAGCTTATTGTCCAATTGGAGCCACCATACACGTCACGTGCATGAACCTTTATACCCGATA